CCTCCCCCGCGTCGCCGCGAGAGCTCTTCTCTGCCGACACCCCCCACCGCAGCAGCCCAACCTTTCGGCTCCCCTGTCCCCAGCCCGCCCCGGTTCTCGCGCCCTCGCGCCTCCTCCTCGCCCTCGCCGAAACCCTGGAGCTGGGATGCTGCTGTCCAACCTCCCTGACAGGCCGGTGCCCACCGGCACCCTGCGGTCCCCGCCTACGCCGCCCCAGCTACTCGGCTGCCTTGGAGATGCGATTGTGTAATGCCGGCTGCAGGGCTGAGCACGTGCGGGGGTTCCCCCCTGAGCCCGCAGACTGCTGCGAGAGGCCAAGCTAACAGAGTGAGGCCTGGGGGAGGAAGAGGGTGCCAGAGGGTCTCGAGGCTGTGCTTTTAGGGAATCTGTATTTTAAGCCCTTTTTTGGGGCTGGGAGCTCGACGGTTAAGAAGGGAAAATAGAGGAGGGTCCTACCCCAGCTGGGACCCGGAGGCCAGCATTTGTCTCAGCACTTCGCTTGCTCAGAAATCCCTAGTGGTTGGCTCCACCAGGCTGCAGGTTTAAAACGTGATAATAGCTGACATGGAATAAGAAAGTCCTGGGCGCCAGGCCCTGACCTAAGCCCCTTTAAAAACCCCATGAGAGCCGGGCTCGGTGGCTCAGCCTGTAATCCCGCGCCTTTGGGAGGCTGAGGTGAGTGGGTTGCCTGAGCCCGCGGGTTCGAGACCCGCCTGGGCAGTGAGACTTCCTCTCTACAATAAATAAAAAAATCAGCCGGGTGTGGTAGCGCATGCCTGTAATTCCGGCTACTTGGAAGGCTGAGGTGGAAGGATCAGCGGAGCCCAGCAGGTCGAGGCTGCGGTGGCCGGGAGCGGCCACTGCACTCCAGTCTGGGCGACAGAGACTCCAACTAAAAAAAACAAAACAAACAAACAAAAAAACCCATGAGTTAGATACCACTGCTCTGCCCATTTTTCAGAGGAGGAACGTGAGGCTTCCAGAGATGGTCTCTTCTTCCCAGGACACCAAGTGAGTCTCATCTCAAAGCCCCCACTCTGAACCACTAGACTTTTTACCCAGTTTTAACCAATACATTCTTATCAACATTTGTATACTATAGGCAATTAGAAATAAGAGAAATTAATAACCTGTGTTCTTAGCACCAATTTATTTTTCTAAAATTAGGTTATCAGACCAGCCAGGGGCCCTGAGCGCCCTCTACAAGGAGACAGGCCCAGAGAGTCGGAACTTGCTGAGGCTGCATAGCTGGAAAGAACTGGACTGAGATGCAGAAAGGACCCTGGGAAGGATAATTGGGCACTTCTTGGGCTTCCTCTACTGCCCTGGCCCACTAGTTTAGGCCTCTTGAAAACCTGTCCTCCCAGACTCTGCATCCTGGCCACCCCTCCCCTTTTGCTTCCTTTGCCAAGACCCAAGCAAGTGAACACACTTCTTCCCTGTGGCTGCCTTTGCTTGTGCTGTTTCCTCCTCTGGAAGTGCTCTCCCTGGAGTCAATGATGTCTCAATCTTACCAACCCCATTTATCCAGTAAGTCCAGCTCAGTCGCCCCCTCCAGGAACACCCCCCTGGTTTCTCCCCTAAGCCCAATGAAAGCTGTTCCTTTCTACCCCAGGATTCCATAGCTGGATTTTACTACTCCCCAACCCCATGATGGCATTTGGAAAGTTCTTCTGCCTGTGTCTGTCTTGTTCTCTTGGGTGCAGTTGTGCTGGCAGGACCAGAAGGGCTCCCCAAGGCTCCAGGACAGAGAGAGAAGTCCATGGGGGATGGGGTGGTTTCTGAAGTAAGAATAGGCTCAGGATTGCCGACCCTGCAATACCAAACCCCCTCATTGAACTGTAGCCTGATCACAAGGAGAATGGCTCAGCCTGGTACCTAACGTTATAACTGCGTGTTTGTTTTTGTTCATAACCCAAAGGATTCCCACGAGAAAGGCAGACAGACTTGGGTCCAAACCTCACCTCTACCACTTACTACCTATGCAGCCACGGGCAAGTTACCTAACTCTCTGAGCTTCAGCTTCTGATAATAAAACCTGCTTTAGAGGGCAGTGGTAACTTAGATAAAATAACACACAGAACCCAGCATGTGGTAAACACTCAAAAAGCACCAGCTATTATGACGAGAAAGTGGTGGTTGACCACTGCTTTGAATTACTGGAGAAACATTGATAAATGGCTCACATTGACTCTGCTTAGAGGTGGGGAAGGGAGTTTGGGCCAAGCAGAAGTAAGCATATTTTGTACTCAGAAAGACCTATGAGGCTTTCTTCAACTTGAAACTATCCTTTGCCTCTGTAGTTAGAGATAGAATTGCCCTTCTATTTTTTATAGCTTTTAAAATGTATGAGCTTGGAGTTCTGTGAGGATTTGCACACCTAGAGTGAACATGGGAATGCAGTGTATGCAATTGAATGCAATTATAAAACTTGATATGAGAAAAAAAATGTATCCTTAGAGGTGACCTTGATTTGCAGCGTGTGTTGGTTCAAGCCTATCCTGGGGTCAAGAGGTTAGAACCAAAGATTATCTTTGGGATAGGAGGTAAGAAAAGCAAGGATGAGTGTGTTATCCTAGTGGCTAGCAAGCAGTTAAGAGTGGAAATCAACATCACTATTGTCATATCTTTGCTGTTGTTAAGTAGGAGTGTCACTCTGTCACTCAGGCTGGAGTACAGTGGCATGCTCAAGGCCACTGCAGTCTTGACCTTCTGGGCTCAGGCAATCCTTTTGCCTCTGCCTTCCAAGTAGCTGAAACTACAGGCATGTGCCATCATGCCTGGCTAATTTTTTTTTTTTTTAGTTGTAGAGATGAAGTCTCACCATGTTGCCCAGGCTGTTCTCAATCCTCACACCTCTACCTCCCAAAGTTCTGGGATTACAGGTGTGAGCCACTGTGCCCAGCTTTTAATTTTTTTTAGAGACAGGTTCTCATTATGTTGCCCAGGCTGGCTTGGAACTCTTGGATTCAAGTAATCCTGCCATCTTAGACTCCCAAGAAGTTGAGGCTACAGGCACATGGCACTGTGCCTGACATACTACATCATATTCTGGTTATTTTGGTGACTAGATCAATTTTTATCATGATGAGTGTTCAAATAAAAAGGGGCAGGGATGTCCCCTTCAAAGCTATATGTTTGGAATATACCAGGAAGCTAGTTCTATAAGGTGAAAAAATTTGAAAATTTCTCCTAATTGTTTTTGTTTTTTGAATCAGGGTCTTGCTTTGTCACACAGGCTGGAGGGCAGTGACACGATCATAGCTCACTGAGACATCAAAGTCCTGGGTTCAAGTGATCTTCCTGCCTCAGCCTCCTAAGTAGCTGGAATCATAAGTGTGTACCACCATGCCAAGTTAATTTTTAAGCGTTTTTTGTAGAGACAGGGTCTCACTATGTTATCCAGGCTGGTCTCAAACACCTGGCCTCAAGTGATCCTCCTGCCTTGCCCTCCCAAAGCTCTGGGATTATAAGTGTTTACCACCACATTCAGCCCTAATTGAGTCTTTATTGGAATAAATTAGGATCCCATTTGATCATTTAAAGACTATTGAGTTTAGACATTTTAAGACATATGTTTTTGTATATTTCACAGAATTTAGCAGGCTTTAAGTCTTTCCTTTATTTCTGTGACCCTGTAGGGACAGAAACACTTTTTGTGCTTTCTAGCGTGGTCGCCACTAGCCACATGTGCCTCTTTAAAGTCAAATTAATTCAAATTAAATAAAATTCAAAATTCAGTTTTTCACATCTCACGTGCTCAATAGGCACATGAGGCTAGCAGCTACTATATTAGACAGAGAAGACGGACAACCTGGCAGAAAGTTATTTGAGACATCATTATTTAAATCAGTAAGACTATGGAAAAGCCGCTTGATGGTGGGGTTACGTTCCATTCTTTCTGGCAACAAGAAAAGGAGTGTGCAGAAGATGTTTCCTTGTTAAGAATGCAGAGGTTAATAAATCCCCTTAGCCTCATTTTGGCTATTCTGACTCACTGACTTTTACCACTGCCAGAGTCAGAAGATGCGGGAGAAGGTGGAATCAAAAGAAATGTCTCAGCACAGTGCTTCTCTGCCCTGACTGCCTGCATATTAGAACTACCTAGAGAACTTAAAAAAACAAACAAATAAACAAAAACAAAAAACCATGCCCAGGCTGTGCCCCAGACCAACTGAATATGAATCTCTGGGGCTGGGGCCAGAGCTTTTTTTTTTTCTCCAAGTTTTCTGGGGGATTCTAATGCGCAGCCAGGGTTGAGAACAACTGACTTCAAGACCGTGACCTTAAACAGACAAGCAAGGAACCCTGAAGACTGGAACAAGGTAGATTTACTGAGTGGCTAAACATGTTCCTCACTGATTTCCTACAGTGGGTAAGACAAGGGTTGGAATTATGTGGGATTACTTCTAGAGGAATTTTCACCCAGGGGACATTTTTCAGCATCTAGAGATATTTTTGATTGTCTCAGCTTGTGGGTAGAGGACAGGGATACTGCTAAACATTCTAATGCACAGAACAGTCCCTACAACAAAGAATTATATGTCATTTGTGCCATAGTTGAGAAACTCTGGTCTGGACATGATTTTCACATTAAAGTTCTTTCTGACCTTGGATGCAGTTGCCTCTTCAAAGAAGATCGAGGTATTCTAAACCAGACCCTCAGAATCTTTCTGGGTCATATTTCAGGTTTGCTAATCCTAGGATCCATGTCGGGTGTTGCTGCCTGGAGTTGGATGCATTTGGGGTCTGTCATAGGCCCCTGTGGTGCTTTCCAGTACTGCACCAAGGAAACTGCTGATTCAGGGGAGCAGGACAGCACTAGGTGTGGGCAGAGGTGCTTATACTGCTGCAGGCTAGGATCCTCTTCTTGTTAAGTAATTACCAAAGTTAACAGCAGTGTTTGCTCTTAGGCATTTTTCCAGAAACTGTGGTTCCTTGGCTATTGGCTTTGGGTGTTTACCTTGTGATATACCCAGAAAAGGATTCAAATCTTACATGTGATGGAGTTTGAGGGCAGAGTTATGGGCTAGACTCTGAGAATATAAAGATGGCAACACAGACCCTGCCTACAGATCACTCAAGCATCTGAACAGACCTGAGCAATAGTAGTGCAGGGCTGCTGAACTCTGCCTGGGAAGTCAAGCAAGATCCCAGCTGTGAAGAGTGAGCACTTAGTACCTGCCAGTCACTGCTTTGAACAGTTTCCTTGCATCATCTTATTTCATCCCCACAGTGAGGTTCTAAGAGGTTAGGTCACTTGCCAAGGTCACATGGTTGATCAGTAGGCAAGCAGAGATTCAAACCCGGGTAGCTAAACTGTAAAACTGAACCCTCAGAGTATCATTTACAGACAGGAACTACACTTTAATAACTAAGACCCATAGGATGAGCTGGAGCTCAGCAGGCAAGAGGGAGAATAGGTGTGCCAGGGAGAGGGCAGCATGCATACCAAGGCCCTGGAGGCATGGAAGAACATGACTTGGGATTGCATGTAGACCATTACAGGAAAGAGTGGAGAGTGGGGGGGGGGGAGGCGGGGTGTGAAGTGATAGAAGAAGTTGGTGCTTGAGAGGTAGGCAGGTACCAGATCCTTAGTCTTCCTGGTCAGATTTGTCTGCTAGGAGCTTGCAGCCTAGAGGTGGGCACAGCCAGTGTTCTCATCACAGGGTACAAGTCACACAGGCTGTGAGTGGGATATGAGTAACAGAGGTTGAGGCAGAGGTTACTGGGAGTGCTGGGGAAAGGTTAACTCTAGCTCTACCAGAAAGATTTGTAAAAGAGAAGATGAGGGTAGGTCGAGGGTGTCTTGCAGATAGAATGGGGAAATGAAGAAAAACAGAGAGCCAGTATGGGTACAGTCATGAGAGGGTCAGATTGTTAGCATATCTGCTGATTCCCCAGTCTCCAGGTTGTGGATGGGAAACAGAAGTTATCATAACAGGAAAATATTCATGAATGAATTTGCCATGTACAGAATGAGACTCCCTCTGTTTTCAACCCTGGTGACC